AAAACCCTCTCCCCCCCCCCCCCCATACCTCTCGCTCCACTGGACAAGGCTCCAGCTCCCCCACTGTCAGCCCATTTAGACGGGGGACTGACTTAACAATAGTTCCTTTTGAAGGAAGTTGTTTGGGGAGATTTCTTTTATTCCTTCCTTCCTTTCTATGCCTGTAAGGAGCTTTCAGGTTCTGGTAACTTTGGGAGCTTCCTGAGGGCCTACGTTAGCTCAGCGGAGGACGTGTGCAGTGGCCCCGTGAGGCGCTGACCGACCTGTGCAACCCTGAGACTGTCTGCCTCTTCTTCTGCTTCCTCTGCTCATCGGCCTCTAGCTGCAGCTGCCGCACCAGCTCCTTGGCCTTGGCTTCTCTCCGCCCCAAGGGGATGATCTATTGGGGCAGAAACCCACCAACTAGCACCAGGTCTCAACCACAACCCACCTGCCTTGTGGATTATGGCTTTCAGCATTAATGACCCCTCTCAGCTCTTTCCCTCATTAGTCTTGACAACGGGGAGAGCGGACAATTCTCCCAAGCAAAAATTGAGGTGACCAAGGATGGAGCCTGCCCCCGTATCCCATGTGATCCTGGGACAAGAAGCTGCATGCAGGCTGCATCATCAGCAGTCCCTCTGGGGACTTGAACGCTCACTCAAACCTGAGCTGAGCTTAGCCTAAACCCAGCTAAAGCACAGGTGTGTTTCCAAAGCCTGCCAGACCTCAGAAGGCCAGTGGGGAGGCAGAGCTGAGCAGCAAAAGCCTGGTCTGCAGCTTGGTGCCTGGAGTCTGCACCACGGCTGCAGAACCTCTGCCACTCAGGGACCTCGGTGCACGGTGCAGAGCTCAAGAGCCCAGGAAAGCACCACTACACAATGGCTCACTCTCAGGCAACCCTGAGTGAGGGGTTTTGCATCTGGGACAGACACCAGAAGTGTTGGTTAAAGCCAGTAAACAAATAAAGGAGACACTTCGGTGGCTGCCTCCTTTGACAAGTGTTCTTGACAGTCGTGCAGCTGCTTCACAGTTAACAGTAAGGGCCAGCCGGTCAGCTCCATTGGTTAGAACGTGGTGCTGATAACACTGAGGCCCAGGGATCGATCTCTGTACCGACCAGCCACCAAGAAACACATAAATATAATTGTGAGCATGGCTTGTTTATTATCCCATTTTTCGTATTTGCCAGAAGTAGTGTCAGAGTCTACTTTAAAACGCTTGGGCCCAGGGCCGGCCCGTGGCTCACTTGAGAGACCGTGGTGCTGATAACACCAAGGCCACGGGTTTGGATCCCAATATAGGGATGGCTGGTTCGCTCACTTGGGAGAGCGTGGTGCTGACAACACCAAGGCCACGGGTTTGGATCCCAATATAGGGATGGCTGGTTCGCTCACTTGGGAGAGCGTGGTGCTGACAACACCAAGGCCACGGGTTAAGATCCCCTTACCGGTCATCTTAAAAAAAATAAATAAGATGCTTGGGCTTGATTATTGGTATGTGTGTTTTTTGGAAAAACACTAAGGAGATGCTCCTATAGTGCACAGAGCAAGGGCAGCGCTGGTGGCACCTTGAGGTCCTGTGGGGCCCGGGCCCCGTACACCAGGGGCCCTCGGACTGCACGGAGGTCGTGGGTTGCCATGGTTGCCACCGTCCTCTTCTCGCAAAGATCTTCATGGAGCTTAGTCTACAACACAGAAGCAGAGACAAGCAAAAGTGAGGTCTATCCCAAAGCACAGCGAGGCCCATGTGCTCCCTGTCCTCCCCCACGATGACCTCCTTGCTCCGCTCTCCAGAGGGCCCTTCCCCTCAGCCTCCTTGGCCTCGCCAACCACAAATTTACTTCACGCAGGCTTCGTCAGGAAAACGGTCTCACCTGTTTATCAGCAGAATTTCTTTTTTCTCTAATTCTAGAACACAATATTTGAGATTTCAAAGAACCTATCTTGGACTAAAATGTGTCACTGAATAAACAAAAGTATGACTTAAAAAGAAAAATCGTCACAGCATGTTTTTCTTCCAAAACACTGATCTATAAGTTCTATTTTTTTTTTTTTTAAAGGGGAACTGAACCTAGGACCTTAGAGTTACATGGTTGTGCTCTAACCAACTGAGCTGACCGGCCAGCCTCTTGATCAGGAAGTTCTCAATGCCGGCTTGCCGTGGCTATCTGCTTCCTCCCTAAACTGCAGGAAGGAGCGTTCCCAGGAGAGCAACACAAGGCCCTCCCTAGGACCACGTCTGTAGCACATGAGACTTATCCCACGTGCAAAGGTGTGCTTTTATTTTAAAAACTGGACAGACGTCATGGAAAAACAACAAATTAGGAAGTTAGTCTAGCCAAAAGCTAAACAAAAACTAAACAATTCAAGAACATGCTGACAAGTGTTGACGATTTTAATACTGTCTTATATAAAATGCAATGTGTAATTTATTGCAGAAATGAGAAAATCACCAGAATATCAGAAAACTCAAGGAGCACCAGTTTTCAATGGCAATGCAGCTGTCTTCAGAAATGAGGACGAACTGTGAAGCTGCACGTGGAAGAGCAGAGGACAGAGGCAGGCGGCAGCGCCTGGCCTGAGCAAGGCTGAAGGGTCTGTGGAAATCACGCTGGGCCGGACCTGCCGCCCTCCTGCCGCCCTCCCGCCACGCACCCACCTGGGAGGCCAGGAGCCGCCGGAGCGCGTTCCCGGGCTGCAGGTCCATGCCCCGCACGACGGCGCCCACGATGTAGGGCCGCACGTCCCGGACCTCGGGGCTCACCCTGACCATCAGGGGCGCGGGGTTCTCAGAGACGTGCAGGACCCTGAGCAGCAGGCGGCCCGCGGCCTCCGCATCGGCATCCTCGCCGCTCTCCTGCCGTGGCCTCCGCTCCCGCCGCCGCCTCCGGCTCTCCTCCTTGTCTGTGCCGTCTGTCCTGCCCCGGCCCCGGCCGCCACCACGGCCCCCCACGCGCAGGTACTCCAGGATGGAGCGCGTCTGGCAGCCGCTGACCATCTTCTCCAGGCGCTTGTCCCTCAGCTTGTTCCCGCGGAAGTTGATCTCCTTGAGCTTGGGGCAGTCCGCCAGCTCGGAGGGGATCTCGCTTAACTGGTTATTGGAAAGGTCCAGCGTCTGGAAGAGACACCAAGAGCACGTCAGATGACCTGGGCTTGTGAGGTCCCAGCCATCAGGCTCCAGAGGCAGGGAGAAGGCCACGCGCCACTCGTGAAAGCCACCGCTTGCATGTCTACTGTCGCCCATCCCTGGGGAGCCGCAGCTTCACAACCTTCCAGCTGCTGATTCACTTGTGAACTGCTTCCCAACCCTGCACCTGCCAGGATGTCCCCACCTGAGAGACTCCTCCAGTGGGGAGGAGTCAGCAGTGAGGACAAGAATCTCTGTAAAATCCTCTTCTGACCCAAACCTCTCACTCCTCCTGCTTGGTTACAGGTCATGGTAACGACAAACAAAAACCATTATGTTAGAGGAAAAAGAGGTAACAAGTCACAAGGGGATGTTTGGTTATAAAACGTGAACTCGCTTCAGGGACAAACTAGTACTTCTTCAGAAGAGAAAGGGGTTCCCCCAAATGATGCTTAGAGTTTTAAAAATTAAATGAGCTAAAAAGAATACAGCAAGATCTCCAAATACATCACTCTTCACAGAGAAGAAATACGAATTGGCCTGGATGGCAGCGTGTGGCCCTTCATGTGGCCCAGGAAAAGGGTGACAGGGCCACATGAAGGATTTTCCATCATTACTACTGATGGGACTGAGACAAAACATGCTGCTGCCGTCACCATACGATGAAAGGATCCCAGCAGCCACCTCACACACATAGGACAGCTTTCTTGGAGCCGGGGCAGGAGAGAGGTCATGTGGGTGGAGCCACTCTGACCACGTGACTGAGTGGCATGGGGCTCCTGCCTTCTCCTGCCTCTTCCCATGCCCTCTCCTCCCTGCCAGCAGCTTCTCTCACTCCAGCCAGGGACACGACTGCCTTCTGAGACCATCACTTTTGCAGGGCACATGCTACTGGGGAAGGGATCCTAACCTTGTGGTCTTGAGAGGCTGGCAGACAACAATCCCATTGGGGAGGCATGCAAGGAACCGTCTCAGATCTGGTGGGTGAGGGCCAGGCGTCGGCCGCCAAGTCAGCCCCACCACCTCTGCCTTCTGAGACCATCACTTTTGCAGGGCACATGCTACTGGGGAAGGGATCCTAACCTTGTGGTCTTGAGAGGCTGGCAGACAACAATCCCATTGGGGAGGCATGCAAGGAACCGTCTCAGATCTGGTGGGTGAGGGCCAGGCGTCGGCCGCCAAGTCAGCCCCACCACCTCTGGCAGCAAGTGAGAAAATCAGCACACTGGGGAAGGATTTTTTTTTTTTTTTTTTTTTACTTCAATTTCTCGTTATGGGACAAGAGTTTTCACACTCAAAGCTGAATTTCTCTGTGGAGCTTGAGCACAGGAGTAGTCTCTGTATGAGCCACAACGGATGACAGTGGAGAGCAATTCCTGGCAGGGCCTGGGAGAAATCCCCATGGAGAGGGGGCTGTCTCTACTACCTAAGGTGCTGTCCCGCCCACTTCGGAAGTTTGGGGAACATCTGTCCTGTCCATCCCTTCATCAGCACCACAGGCCTGGGTGACAGTGCAGGCAGCAGTGATGTGATATGACCCCCCATCCTCATACTCCCCAACACACCACAGCCCTGGAAGTAGTGCCCACAGGTCACACAACCCAGCCTGCAAGCAGAGAGAAGGCCACTTCAGGATCTCTTAGATCCCCCCAGAGAGACGCCAAGCTCAGTGGGTCAGAGGCCAGGACGATGATGAAGCCAGGCTCGCCAGCAGGCAGTTCACTGGTGAAGTAAAGGGACTGCAGAGGATCAGGGCCTTCATGACGCATAGTCCCAGGCTAGGCCTGGTGGCAGCTCCCTGGGTTGGGCATTAGGAGCTGGGAGAGGTGAAAAGATGAACAGAGGCCTCTGTACTGTTACTCCGGTGGCCCCTAAAGAACCAGCCCTCCTGGTTCTCCACACATCTTTGTGAGGTGCCTCCCCATGAACATGGACTGGGCATTACTTGTTTTCCTAACCAGTGGAATGTGGTGAAGTTGCAGAACGCCGGTGAGAAGGGGAGGGAGAGGTCCCGAGATGACACACAGAGAAAGCCAAGCCCTGAGCCCACGGCCAGCTGAACACAGCCACACAAGGGATCGAGAGCAGCAGAACGATCCAGCTGAGCTAGCCCAGAATGAGGACCATTAGCAAACAAGAAGACTGTTGTTTTAAGCCCCGAAGTTTTGGAGTGTTAATGCAGCCACGCTGACCCAGACAACTGCCCTCACCTCGCCCTCTGCACATGCACCATGGGCCCCTCTCGGTTCTCTCACAGGTGAGCCGTCATTGTGCAGAGTGGGCCCATCTACTACCCTTAACTACAAACCTATACACGCATGTACAGACTCGTATATATTTGTAAAATTAATAGCAGTATTTTAAGAATAATTTCTACTGCAAATAAATCAATTGCTAGACTGTACACAGACTTGATTAAGGGACAGCTACATCAACTCAGTGATGAAAACCAGGACGAAGAAGAAACACAGAACTGCCTTGAGGATGTAATGAAAAGTGAAGATGCAGAGAACACCAGCCTGGATCTGCGCCGTGGCTCCTGCAAAAGGCTTAAAAGGCACCTGTGACAGCCAAGCATAATGCCAGGGCCTGGGGATCCGAGAAGTAAACAGTCCCTAGACGAAGTGGAACACCCAAGATACTTGCAGCTTACTTTGGGCAAGCGGAAGCTTTCTGTAAAACAGAAACAACCACCCCTACCTTCGAAGGCCGTTGCTGGGGTAAGCGAAATATCATCTACGAAATCACATTACACGGCCTTCTGCGAATCCCAGTTATCTCACGTCTTCGTGCCTTGTTTGGGTGCCCACAGCCCCCAAAGCTCAGTCATTTCACAAATATTAGACACACAAAAAAATCAGACATGGGTCCCCGCTGTTAACCTGCTTCCGACCTGAGGGAGAAGCTAAGTTTGTAACAACTACAAAACAGCCTGGCACGTGTTAAAATCCAGTTTCTGTTCCGCTCAGGACCAGCGGGAGCTGGGAGGCGGGAACAGCTTCCCGTGGCGACGACACTGGAGCCGCCTCCTTCCGGAGCAGGAATTCCCTCGGCCCGGTGCCCCGCGGGGCGCCCTGACACGGGTCCCCTCTCCGTGGCCGCTCCAGGGCCCCACCCCGCCCCGCCCAGGCAGCCCCGGCTGACCTTGAGCGAGGCCAGGTGGGCGATGTCGGGGCTGAGCTCCCGGAGACAATTGTCGGCGGCCGCCAACTCGCTGAGCAGGGGCAGCGCGCCGGGGAGGAAGAGCTCAGCGGGGAAGGAGTCCAGGCAGTTGCCGGTGAGGTTGAGGCTCTGCAGGCGCGGGGCGCAGCGCGCCAGGTCGGCGGGCAGATCGCGCAGCCGGTTGCCGCTGAGGTTGAGGCTCTGCAGCTGCGGGAGGCCCGGCGGCTCGGCGGGGCCCAGGCCCTGGCCCGGCGGCAGCGCCTCCAGCGCGTTCCCCGACA